ACTGCTGCTGCACTTGCTGCTGAACTTGCTGCTGCTGCTGCTTCAGTTGCTGCTGCGGCAGCTTCTGCTGTTGCAGTTGTTGCTGCTGCAGCAGGTGCTGCTGCTGCTGCAGCCGCTGCTGCATTTGCTGCTGCGATTGCCACCACCGAATCTATGCAGGCCCACCAGAGGCGGCACTACGGCCTCGCTGCTGCTGCTGCTGCTGCTGCTGCTGCAGTTGCTGCTGCTGCTGCAGTTGCTGCTGCTGCTGCAGTTGCGGCTGCTGCTGCAGTTGCTGCTGCTGCTGCTGCTGATATGCGTGGCCTTTGTTGGTGTTTATTTGGGGTGTATGATGAGCTGTTATAGAGCTATTAAATAATTTATCTTTGCCTGTAAACCCTAAACCCTAAACCCTAAACCCTCATGGTTATATATATATATATATATATATATATATATATATATATATATATATATATATATATATATATATATGTATATATAATTTAGTTTATTTTTTATTCTTCTTTTTGTACCTGTATAGCAACAGATGCTTCCTTCTCTCCTTCTTCCTGCTGCTGCTGCTGCTGCTGCTGCTGCTGCTGCTGCTGCTGCTGCTGCTGCTGGTCTTTCTCTCCTTCTTCTTCCTGCTGCTGCTGCTGCTGCTGCTGCTGCTGCTGCTGCTGCTGCTTAAACTCCTCAAGGAGTTCATCGCTTTCCCTATCTGTGTCTGTGTCTTTGTGTATATTATTATATTTATTTATATATTTATATTTATTTTTATTTATATTTTTATATTTTATTTGTTTAGACTCAGCAGCAAATGTTGCTGCTTCTATCTCTGCTTGATAGTCAGCAACAACACCCAAGGAAGAGAGAGAAAAGAGAGAAACAAAAAACAAAAAAACACAAAAAAATAAAAATAAAAAAGGAGATATAGGGAAATGCAGGCCCCACAGTCCCCCCCTCTTGCTGCTGCTGCTGCTGCTGCTGCTGCTGCTGCTGCTGCTGCTGGTGATGATGCTGTAGGCAGAGAAAAAAGAGAGAAACGAAGACAAAGTAAATATTAATATATTTATAACTGCTAGCAGCACCAAAGAAGAACGAACAGCAGCCTCAACGCCGCATGCAGCCCCAAAAACACCAACAAGAGATGTAAATAAACAAACAAAAGCAAAACACACAGAAAAAAATAATAATATACTGCTGCTGCTGCTGCTGCTGCTGCTGCTGCTGCTGCTTGTTATAGTACTTAAACTGCTCATTATGTCGCTCAGTATGCTGCTTAGTCCCCCCCCGCTGCTGCTGCTGCTGCTGCTGCTGCTGCTGCTGCTGCTGCTGCTGTTTATTAGAACAGCAGCAGCAGCAGGAGCAGCAGCAGGAGCAGCAGCAGGAGCAGCAGCAGCAGACAGAAACAACCACACAAAAAGCAAAAATATAATACAATAAATCAACGGCACTAAATATAATAAAATAGAACGAAGCCGCAAAGGCACAGACTCGCATGCAGGACACACACACATCTTCCTGCTGCTGCTGCTGCTGCTGCTGCTGCTGCTGCTGCTGCTGCTGCTGGTGCTGGTGCTGCTGTTGCTGCTGTTGTTGCTGCTGCTGCTGATGATGATTATGGTGGTGGTTGTGGCGGTGGTGGTGGTGGTGGTAGTGCGGATGCTGCTGCAACACGGAGAGCAATGTTTGCTGCTGCTGCTGCTGCTGCTGCTGCTGTTGCTGTTGCTGCTGTTGTTGCTGCTGCTGATGTTGCTACGGCAATAAGACGTGGGGCGATGCT